TTTCTCTTCTAACTGTAGCCTGCTGAATGGCACAAGAAGGCACAAGAAGCAAAGCGTTAACGTGATTCATCTATATTTCTAGAGAAAGTCAGTTAGAATCTGCAGGATATCCCGTAATCTAAATCTATCGATATTTACAACTGTTTCTAGATGAAACCGCATAAAAGCTGCAATAAAGTGAAACAATACTAACAACTCACTATGCTCACAATCTGAGAAGAATTCAAGATTTCTAATTACTTCATACAGCACCAACAACCAGACTCAATTTGAAAATTTACCTTAAAACAGGAGTTGCTACACAATAGAGGGCGACAACAGTTTCGATACCCATTCTTCATTGAGTTACCGTAGACTCTACTAGTCTACTAGTAGTAGTAGCCTAGATAGGCTAGCGGTAACTTGGATCAAATTTTAAGCTTGCACCAAATTGGTGCTGCGAACTGGAGTTTCACGCACCTTTCTTCTTGTGCGGGAAGGACGATGCATAGATTTCTCTACAATGACAAAAAGAACTTTGGTGCAAAGATTTTGCTTGCTCCCAGCAGACATTACCGCAAGCGGTGAGACAAGCATAAACCATCCTCGCCGTTTGTCTCTTCACTGGCGCGCGCGCAGCCAGCGGGTGACGGGTCGAAAGAATGTAGGCTAGTACTAGTACATGTATGTAGATCTAGAGCATTGACTGGTTTAGAATAATTAGACAATGGGGGAGGTGAAGGCCAGGGTTAGGTGGAGCGCTTGCACCAATTGCACCAATGGCGCCCCTCCACTGTACTGTAATGTTTTTTACCCTCTTAGTGCGCCCTGGGGTCATTCTGTACCCCAGGAGTTGTATTCTTCACCTTTTAGAATACTTCTAGTACGAATATCTCTCTGAAACTTTCAGTATTTCTTTAAAAAAACCATGTAACAGACTGCTATGCAAAGCTTACAGGACCTGATTAACTAGTAAATTTCCTCTTTGGAAAGTGGTGGCACAGAGTTCCTCACGTCGTATGGATATGATAATAATACACGACGTACAGTTAAGGGTTAAAAAAACACGCAGCAGGTAAAATTGAAAGTGGCCGTTTGTTCTGTTGATTGTCATATACAGGTGACTGTTAGATCAGAACCGACCGAATTGGTAAAAAAACATGTTTTATGACTCTGTGTCTTAAAACAAACATGCCATTCTTTCCTCAGATGTTAAAAGATGAAAACAGTCATCTAAAAAGAGAACTAGAATCACTCAAGTTCCGAGAGACTATGTGGGTACAGGAGAAGGAGAGAGCAGAGAAGGAGAGGCGGAGGAACAAGGAACTCGGAGTGAGAAAGCAATGAGATACCATGTTTTATTTCTTCTTCTTCTTCTTCTTCTTCTTCTTCTTCTTCTTCTTCTTCTTCTTCTTCTTCTTCTTCTTCTTCTTCTTCTTCTTCTTCTTCTTCTTCTTAC